GGGGGGGTTCATATATTGCCTAGTGGAAGGGAGGATTGGAGAGGGCTCATATTTTGCCTGGAGCCGGGTTTTAAAGAAGAACTCCAGATGGTTGGTTCTTGCATCACCTGGTGCCCAAATAGTTAACAGATTTACAGTTTTGACAACAGCCGCTTGCCGTAGAGGGGCTATCAAGATGCCCAGAACCTATGTACGTCAGAGCCGCGCCGGAAAATTGGAACAATATAGTTTACAGGTCTTGTATAATAGGTTCCACACAGGAAAATTCCAGCTGTCCCTTCTGGCAAAGACAAGTCGTCTGGAATATACGCAGCCAGAACCAAATGACACTGGAAGGCGCTTTCATTCCACATGCAGCACAAGCGGTTACATAAATAATCTTCTTCTTACCTCAGTCACGTCCATGACCTTGATGGCGGCGAGTTGTCCCGTCTTGACATGACGGCCCTAAGAGAAAACATAAGAAAAGACATTGGTAATAATCACGCAGTAAAATCCTCTCTCTGACATTTGTGCGGCGCATATATTCCGGGTTTCAAAGCCCTGGATCAAAAAAAAAAAAAGGAGGACCTGTACTGTGGAAGCTGTGACCAAAAAAAAGTAAGCAGAGGACAAAGGACTTGTCACCAGTATTGTCTAAAGGCTCCCTGTAGCTGATCTTTCCCCATTACAGACCTACCATATGGAGGAAACGCAGATCTACAGAAGGTATGCAGAAGCAGCAGGGAGATCCTAGCACTGCAGGCGTTCAGGTACCCCTTCCTCTCCAGCAAACAGAACTGTGAGAAGCACAATGGTGACATCACCAAATCGGACCCACAATCTCCTGAGACTAGCAGTCTTCCCCTTCTGTCTGTATCACCCTGCAGGAGGACAGACTCATAGCTCCCTTCTATGTATCACCCTGCAGGAGGAGGACAGACTCATAGCTCCCTTCTATGTATCACCCTGCAGGAGGAGGACAGACTCATAGCTCCCTTCTATGTATCACCCTGCAGGAGGAGGACAGACTCATAGCTCCCTTCTATGTATCACCCTGCAGGAGGAGGACAGACTCATAGCTCCCTTCTATGTATCACCCTGCAGGAGGAGGACAGACTCATAGCTCCCTTCTATGTATCACCCTGCAGGAGGAGGACAGACTCATAGCTCCCTTCTATGTATCACCCTGCAGGAGGAGGACAGACTCATAGCTCCCTTCTATGTATCACCCTGCAGGAGGAGGACAGACTCATAGCTCCCTTCTATGTATCACCCTGCAGGAGGAGGACAGACTCATAGCTCCCTTCTATGTATCACCCTGCAGGAGGAGGACAGACTCATAGCTCCCTTCTATGTATCACCCTGCAGGAGGAGGACAGACTCATAGCTCCCTTCTATGTATCACCCTGCAGGAGGAGGACAGACTCATAGCTCCCTTCTATGTATCACCCTGCAGGAGGAGGACAGACTCATAGCTCCCTTCTATGTATCACCCTGCAGGAGGAGGACAGACTCATAGCTCCCTTCTATGTATCACCCTGCAGGAGGAGGACAGACTCATAGCTCCCTTCTATGTATCACCCTGCAGGAGGAGGACAGACTCATAGCTCCCTTCTATGTATCACCCTGCAGGAGGAGGACAGACTCATAGCTCCCTTCTATGTATCACCCTGCAGGAGGAGGACAGACTCATAGCTCCCTTCTATGTATCACCCTGCAGGAGGAGGACAGACTCATAGCTCCCTTCTATGTATCACCCTGCAGGAGGAGGACAGACTCATAGCTCCCTTCTATGTATCACCCTGCAGGAGGAGGACAGACTCATAGCTCCCTTCTATGTATCACCCTGCAGGAGGAGGACAGACTCATAGCTCCCTTCTATGTATCACCCTGCAGGAGGAGGACAGACTCATAGCTCCCTTCTCTCTGTATCACCCTGCAGGAGGCGGGACAGAACATATCAGCAGTGATATAACAGCTACTGAAAGTAAAACAAAGCAAGGTTACACAATCTGCCTGTTGGGTTTTCAGGTTAGCAGGCAATGGGAGATGAAATGACAAGAATTAAATCAGTGCTATTCGAGTTTATGGCCTCACATTAGGCAGACGTCACCTACAAAGCAATGTTGGCCCTCCCACTGCAGGGAGATAAAAGTGAAGGTAAAATGCCAGTGAACAGCAGAGACGACTAATTCTGAACACCGTTCCCAGTTGCTATGGAAAGCTGCACCACTGCGCGACTCCCCCACTAATTCTTCTAATAACTCCCCCTCTGTTTCTGTCTCTCTCACCCACAATCCCCCCTCCTCTCTGCTCCCCGCTGCTCTCTGCGCCGTCTGCTTACTCGGCGTTTTCCTATGTGACTGCGGTCTCCGGGCTGGCAGTGCCAGGGTAACACTGCTGCTGCAACAGAGAGGCATTCACAAGAGAAATGACAAGCGGACACTGAGGCTGGAGTGCAGCTCTCCTCCATGATTCTGACAACGTGTGTACAAGCTGCCATCAGGAAAAACAAATCGGACGCAGAATGATAGAAAGTGCAGGGAAATAATGAGAAAATATGGAGGAGGGAGAGCCAGTGATGGAGGAGGAGAAAGGAGGGGGACGGGGGAGCACATACAATAAAACAAATATGAAGGAGGAAAGAACGGAGGGAGAGGAAGTGGAGTTGGAGAAGAGGGAAAGAGGATGGAAGGCAGAATGGGAGAGGAGAGAGTGCAAGGGAGGAAAAAGGGAAAGTGAAGAAAAAGGGAGAGAAAAGTAAAAAGGGAAGGGAGAGAGGGAAGGAAGGAAATGAGAGAAGGCAGGAAAGAGAAGGGAGAGCAAGGGAAGACTGCAAAGGGGAGGGACAGTGAGGTAGGAAGGCAAAGGGACAGCAAGGGAAGAGGGAAAAGGGAAGGGAGATCAAAGAGGGAAGGGAAAGGGAAGTGGAGTAAATCGAGGAAGGGAAGGCAAGGGAGAGGAAGGAAAAAAAAAAAGGAAGAGGGAGTTGCAGTAAGTCTGAGATTAGTGAAAAGGAGGTCTTACCTTATACACTTGGCCATATGTGCCATTCCCGACCACTTCAACCAGTTCAAAGATCCCAGCTGGATCCTGAAAGACACAAACATGTCACAGGTCAATTCATAAACTCTGCAAGGCAAGAAGCAGCAATCCCAACCAGTCAGATCCCATTGGTTGCTATGGGTTACTGCAACTTGCATCATTTCTTCTTAAAAAGGAAACAAATCTGTTTGGATCAATTTTATTTTAATACATTTTTGTGATGCTTTAGATCTTATTTTCACTCTATGTACTATATACAATCTTTATTTCAGAAACACACATTTACTACATGACAAACAATTCCCAGCGTACTACAGTTTAGCTAAAGCCGCAATCACGGTGCAGCACTAGTAGGCACAACGGCAGCCCCATGTACATATATATGTAAGCTAAAGATTCCCTTTACACTTCGCCCTCGTTCACACCTGAACTTTTTGTAGCGCGTTCTACGCTCGACGAACGCTCTACAAAACGCTCAAAAATATAAATCCCATTGTATTCAATGGTCTCGTTCCCCACCTTGGCGTATTTCCGCCCGTCCCTAACGCGCTACAAAACGGCCCACGCCTGAAAAGGTACAGGTACTACTTTGGGCCGTTTTGTTGCGCGTTTCCATTGGGATACAGCCAAGTAGCCTTCGTACTCGCGGTAAAAAAACCCACGACAGACGCGCATATGCAATACGCCTAGGTGTGAACGAGACCTTAGGCCTAAACTCAAACCGTTGGGAACGAGCCCATATAGGCGATCGGCGGGCTATGGACCCGCTGATCGCCTATATGTGAAACACCCGGTAACGGGTGTGTGCAACGGTCGGGTCATTTCTGCCCGTGCGTGCCCGCTAGGGGGCGCGCACGAGCAGAAAAAAATTGCCGTCTGGAGACGGCAACCCGCCAATGCTGCAGTGCCGTCCGTCCGTTTTTTTACTACGGGCGGACGGCAAGAGGTTAAAAGACTAGCGTGCGTGTGCAGAAACCTGACCGGATCTGCTCTACATTTGGTGTGAACAAGGCCTTACTCATAGTTTTAAAATAACAACAAAAGACACCTTTAGAAGTGTTTAGTAATGAGAATCTACAGACACATACTCCTACATCATTGCTGGCTTTGTATTCTTTGCAGACTGTATTTTTCTTTTCTTCCCCAGTCTTCTCACAGTGGCCATGTTTACTAAGGGCAGATTACTAGATCTATCACTTCCTGGATTACTGGGACATGTGACTAGGACATGTGACCATGCACATCATCTCAAGAGAGGAAAATGCCTTTCCCTGAGATCTCCTGAGAATACAGATTAGATTTTCCAGCAATGCTCTGCCGATGACAAGGCAATCCCAGTGTGCATTGCTATGTCAAACTGAAGTCATTTTGCCCCTTTCAAAGCAGGAAGTGAATGCTCTGCAAGTGTCAGTATTTCACATTCACAGCATTTTACACCTGACATGTCTAGGTTATTACTAATCATCATACAGTAGAGGGATGCATTGGTAGAATTTGATTTTTGAGTGTAAAAGGTCCCCTTTAAGATCTTTGAGAATGAATTACTTCACAGTAAACGCAGCTAGAGACAATTGAGGGCTCGGTTTAAAGCTATATAAATGTTTGAATGTCCATAGTCTGGGCACAGGGACACAAAGGGCTAATTCCACCTTGTTTTAAATTGTGAGAGTTTCACCGTACATTAAAAAAATACTTCTGTTTGGCAAAAGCTGCTCTTTAACGTTAAAGGAGAACTATGGAGTTAAGGCTTTCCCCAATAGTTCTCCTTAGGGTAACGGGAGGACGCAAACTAGCGTCCTCCCGTCACCCTAGGCTCAGTATACCGTGAGCTACAGCTCGTGGTATACAGAGAAGCCGCAGTATATCGCGAGCTGCTGCTCGCGGTTAACTGAGACGCCGCAGCTGAAGCGGGATCCCGACAATTATGCCGGGATCCGCCCAGCTGCGTGACTGACAGCTGGCTCTGCCTCTAGATAGGCAGAGCCAGCTGTCAGTCACGCAGCTGAGCGGATCCCGGCATAATTGTCGGGATCCCGCTTCAGCTGCGGCGTCTCAGTATAACGTGAGCAGCAGCTCGCGATATACTGCGGCTTCTCTGTAGCTCCCTATATACTGAGCTTAGGGTAACGGGAGGACACAAACTAGCGTCCTCCCGTCACCCTAGGCTCAGTATACCGTGAGCTACAGCTCGTGGTATACAGAGAAGCCGCAGTATATCGCGAGCTGCTGCTCGCGGTATACTGCGGCTTCTCTGTAGCTCCCTATATACTGAGCTTAGGGTAACGGGAGGACACAAACTAGCGTCCTCCCGTTACCCTAAGGAGAACTATTGGGGAAAGCCTTAACTCCATAGTTCTCCTTTAAGAAAAATGTTTCAACATCCACCAATTACCCTCCGGCATTGTTTATACAGAGGACGAGAATGCACCTCTCCAGTGTACTATACACAGATCAGCTGAGGGAGATGGACTGTGGATAACATTAAAGCTGATCCTGTCTGGCATAGTATATACAGATCATAAGACTTGGGTAGGAAGACGGATGTATGGCATTATGAGTCGCTCTCCAGCCGCTGGCACATATCCCATACTGCACTGCAGCACGGCTCTGCAGCTTTACAGCCATCAACCCTTCAGAAAGCGGCAGAGAACATTCACCGATGACACAATGGCCTATCGAGAGAGTGGCTATCAACACCCGCAAGTGTGGAGGGAGAAGGGGCTCCGTATCGCGGCAGGATATCCTGGAAGGTGAAATCCTTGCTGAAGATAGACGTGAGGGGAAGCCGTGGTCAGAGAGGAAGGAATGTTTATATCACAAGTGTGATTAGGAAGGTTTATGAAAAGCGGTTTCCTACTGCTGGCAATGCAACACACGTCAACTAAGACTTAAAGGGAACCCCCATTCTTGCTTAGCAACGGGTGCACTTGAGGGCTCATTCTCGGCAATGTGCAGGAAAACGTGTACATTGCCGCAGTGGAAAGCGGCGCACCGTGCCTGCATCAATAGACTCCAGCCCCATTCATTTCAACTGGCACACAAATGCTGCGGGACCTACAGTTTGGCATGTTGAGGTATCTTACAAAATTAATGCGCAACCCATAAAAAAGCATCTGCAAACGGGCCCTAAACAAGTCCCAAATCAAGTTACTATGCGTTGCACAAGCTTCATAAAGTCATTAAAAACCTTCCTTCCCCCCCCATGACTGAGCCAAATCCTCCTTAAGGGCGGGTTCACCCCATTTTCCGGAGCCAGATCTGGTCTGGAAAATGGTGTAAACTTGACCGCAGTTCCAGTGCATTCCGGCCAGGCAACATGAGACCTGCAGTATTCTTCTGGTCTGGTCTGCGCTGGTGTGAACAGAAGCTAGAAATAGCATAGGGATACATTAGGATGCATTTTGGGTCCGGAAACAATCTGGTCTGAAGATGATCTGGATGTGGTGTGAAGGGGCCCTTCATGGTTTCTCACATTTCCCTCCCAGGCACTGCTAACAATGGGAGGGGTTTAGCAACAGGACCAGTGCTGTCAATCCAGAAAGCAATGACTGGGACTAAATGTGACCAGGTGCTGAGAGGCTTGTGAATTAGAAGAGACAATGCTAATAGCCACACCCCCTGCAACATCTTCCCCGCCCACTTCAAGTGCAAGCAGACACAGACTACACGAGGATGACAACTCTGCTCTGAATTCAAGAGCAGTGCAGCATCGTTGTCACCCCATCACCAGAAGCTGCATTAGGTGGACTTCACTGGCAAGATCAAACAGGCATTTTTGAGACTTCACAGAACTGAGAACATTTTAAGTGCAGATAAATGTAAAATATAGTCCTGCAGCATTTATCTTTTTTTTTTTTAAGGTAGGCCATAGATCTGCTTTAAAGGAGAACTTTGGGGTCAGGGCTTTTCCCCATAGTTCTCCTCAGGGTAACGGGAGGACACAAACTAGCGTCCTCCCGTCACCCTAAGCTCAGTATATAGGGAGCTACAGCTCTCCATATACTGAGACGCCGCAACCAGAGCGGATCCCGACATCGATGTCTGCATCCGCCCAGCTGCGTGAGTGACAGCTGGCTCTGCCTATCTAGAGGCAGAGCCAGCTGTACCCGCCCTCTCCCCCGTCCGTTCCGAGGATCGGAGAGGGGGGAATCCAGCCCCTCCCCTGTCACGGCAGAGAGCTGTGACAGGATCGAGAAGTGAGCGAGCGCCGGTATGTGTTCGCTCACCTCCTGATCTACTGAGCCGACCTGTGACGGTCTCATTGTCACAGGTCGGCTAGAACTATGAGGTGAGTGAAAAGCACCCCCCCTCATAGTTCTCCTTTAATTCTTACCTGTCCTGCTGCCCATTCCCTCCGTTTGCATTTACAAACTGGTAATACCCACCCTAAAGCTTCTCCCCTAGTGAGTCTGGCCTACCACCACCTTTAACTAAGGCTGGGTTCACAGCTAGGCATATCGAATATGCGCGTTTGTCACACGTTTTTATTGCGATTCGCTGTAAAAAAAACGCACGTTTCCGAGGGCTACTTGGCTGTATCTCAATGGAAACGCGCGACAAAAACGCCCCAAATAAGCTCCTGTACTTCTTTGGGCGTAGGGTGTTTTGTAGCGCGTTCATACGGCCTGTAATACGCCCAGGTGTGAACCATACCCATAGGAAATAATGGGATTTCGGTGTTTGAGCGTTTTGAGGAGCGTAGGAACGCGCTACAAAACGCCCAGGTGTGAACCGGGCCTAACATAGAGGACAATAACACTGAAAGCCTGTTCACAATGTTCAGCCGTTGTGCAGACGGGACCAGGTGACAGCAAGAGCACACCTGGAGAGGTCAAGCCATAGAGGAACATTCCAGTCGGCCTCAGGCTATGTAAACAAAGGGCATGACCTTTCCAAGACTGATCTAATGCCACCCACTATACTACAGACAAGATGAGCGACAGGAGGGTCCCTCTACCAGGGCAATGCCCACACGGGGCGAGGCAGCAGGCTCCTTGTAATGACTGGTCTCTTGGTAGCACATACTCGCCTTTCTCCCTTCCAATACT